TCCTTGGGGGGACCTAGCTACGATGTGTGAGGGCGCCCCAAGTCCTTGTCACTGAACGGCTCTGCAGACAAACGTGAGGATCGACAGCCTGGCCCCACCCGCCTGTCCACTCACTGTCACCCACACCGGGTGGCGGCATTGACGTGACCGTGGGCCAGCTCTTCTCCTGTCCCTACGGAAAGGCTCCACCTCCCTCCCTCCCTGTGACCCACAGTTTCCAAAGCGGAGGACGGGGGCCCCAGTAACAGGACCTGTCGCTGGACACTGAGTTCCCGAGGCTCGGCGCCCCGTGTCCAGGCTTCCATGTGGGAACTGACCCCCAAAAAGGTTCCGAAAAGTTCCCAACTGGGGAAAAAGCAGCTTCTCCCGATGCTCCACTTCGAGAGCACGAGGCGGAACCCAGGCAGAGTGGCTTGTGCTGCGGGCCGCGGCCCCCACTCCGCCTGGGCCCCTGTCCCGTCTCCTCCTGCACCCGCTGTTCCTCGGCTCATCTCTCTGTACACGCACAGCTCTCCCCGTGCGTGGTGATGCGGGATGAGGCCTACGGGCCCTGTGACCCCGGACCCCGGCTGCTCTGGGCCCGCCAGGCCTCAGGTCCCACGAAGCTGGCGAGAGCCTGGCGTTTTAGGTTTGTGCCTATGTCACAGCCCCGTTGAGACCCCCCCTCCTGTGGAGAATCCCTGGTGTAGAGAAAGGGAGCCGCACCCCAGAGATAAGGGCTCCCGACCTCGGACAGGCACTGGGAGAGCTCTGACCCCCGCTTCCCGCCGCGCCTTCTTGCTGGGGCAGGGGACGGGCAGTCGGGGCCCTGCAGACCTAACGTGTGGGCCGTCAGCCTGCGGGACATAGTGACGTTATTGTGGTGGGGGGAGCGGGGGCAAGGCCCAGAGGTGAACCCGTGGCCCTGTCCTTCAAACGGAGAGTAAGGTAAACAAAGGTGCTTCCTACACCAACCGTAAGGTAAACAGGGCCCTGGCTTCCTTTGTTTCTAATCCAGGGACTTGGTTCCCTGGAGATCAAAGCGGTTTTTCTCACTGGGCTCCGCCCTTCCTGGAGTCAGAGGGCAGCGTCCCTCACAGGAGCTCTGTTTTCTTACGTTTGATTTGCCCCGCCTGCTGGCAGAGCATATTTCATCCCTGGGGAGGGCCCAGCAGCCTGGCAGTGGGGCCGTCACCCCATGTGTAGACAGTCACCAAGATCCTCACCTAAACTTAGCCTCAGGGTGTCTGGAACCCAAAATATGTCCTCTTGAGAACAGGGACCCCTTAACAGAGCAGAATACAGGGGGTGTGCATAAAGCTCCCAGCCTGCGATCATGGATATAGAAGCCTCCTCACCAAAACCCCCAGCGACGGATTAACCCAGCGCCATGCTGAGCCTGGGGTGGGGGCAGCCTGTGGCCTAAGCTTTCCCCGCAGTCGGGGGCGGGGTGCCTTGCAGGGGGCAGTGCCAGCTCCACAGGCCGGGGAGGTGTCAGGGGCCTGCGGGCTCCACGTCCATTCTGAAAAAGACGATTAACAAAGGGCAACGGCGGGCGGAGGCTTGCCACACGATTTCACCGCCCGTGGTGGGACAAAGCTCCGAATCCCCGGCTCCTTCCCCCCGGCTCCTTCCGGTCCGCTCCCCAGGAAACAGGAAGTGCTTTTGTTTTAAGCCCCGCGCCGCTGCGACCCCTGCATTTAACGCCACAGTAGTCACAATAAAACGCTTCCTGCTGTCCTTTGTCTTGGTCTTTGCTCTGTGACATGACAGGGTCAGCTGGGTCACAGGGAAAAGGCTCACTGACCTGGGTGTCCACCAGGCAGCACTGTCCCCCTTGGGGACTCCCCACGGGACGTCTCACTCCGACCGCGGACCCGCCCCGGCTGCCTGGGTTCACTTCGTGCTCTTTTTCCTAGTGGGCAAAACAGAGGACAACGGAGCAGCCCGAGCTGCCCTCCCCTGGGACAGGCCCGAGGACAGCCCTGGCCGGTCAACGGCTGAGGGGCCCAGGTCTCCAGCTAGATGCGCCGACACCCCGAGGCTGCCAGGTGCTTACCGGGCATGGAGATCTTCCTATTTTTAATGGTGACTAGTACATCACACAGACTGAACCTTGTCAATCAACCTTTTACACCTCAAAAGACCACAAAGAAAACGAAGACAGTCAACAAATTAGGAACGAGTATTTGCAAAACCACATCGGATAAAGGACTTGTATCCACAATAGACAAACTACTTGCAGGGTGACCAGCTATCCTGGTGGGGAGTACAAGAGTATTAGTGTCACCTAGAGTCACAGCTGCAGGCGGCGGGGCCAGGATTTGAACCCCCGTGTTAGACTCCAAGCCCCAGGCTCCACGCGGCGACTTAACGCTGCTTCTCCGCAGGGTCCAACGCCGCGGCACGGGAAGGGACCCCGGCGCTCAGGCGCCCTGCGACCAGGCCGGGAAGAAGGCCCGGACGCGGCCCTGCCCGCTCCGGGGAGGCCCGGCGGCTCGAGGCGCCTCCGTTGGTGGAATCAGTTTCCTTTTCTGTCACGTGGCGATGGGAAATGCACTTTTCACGGCGCAGTCGGCACAGGGCGCGACCGCACGCGTGCGCAGCGGCAGGTGGGGATGGCGGTGACGAGGGGGGCACGCCGTGGAGGAGGCCTCCCGGGGCGACCTGCTGGCGACACGTCTCTGCACCCTCGGGTGGAACACCTCTCGCTGGCTGTGGGCACGCGGCCACAAGCTCAGTGAAACGTCTCGTGAGGGTGCTCGCAATCTGACCCATTCACGGTGACTCACGTTTGGTCTTGAAAGAAAGAAAATGCCTTTATGAGCACGTTTGTGCTGTGTTAATTGTCACAACACATCTTTGGAATAAACTGCACACAGAGACGCACGTCGGTCCTGCGGTTCTGGCCGGCACGTGAGTCACTGGGCACCTGTCTTTGGGGAGCCACGCGCGGCGCCTCTGCTCCTGACCGGTGGGGCCTGGCCCTGCCCCTCTCAGCCCAGCACCCTGCCTCGGGGCCCAAAGAGTGGGGGCGAAGCGGGGGACTCAGAGAGGACCGACTCAGCCCGCGATCTGCAGAGACGAGGGAGAAGCGAGGGGAGCCCTCTGCACGGGACCCCGGCCCGTGGACACAGCACGGCGGGGCCCAAGCCCGGAGGATCCAGCGTGCCTGGGCGGGGCGGGAGCCATTAGCAGGTGCGTGTCCAGAGAGGCCCGTGCTGGGCAGCCGGAGCCCAGTTGGAGAGGAAAGGCCTGCGGGTCCCAAGCCGCCTTGCACACCAGAGGTGGCCCAGCCTGTGCTGCCCGGTGAAGGGCCAGCCCGGGTCAGCCTGGCTGATGGGGAGGAGGCAGAAAATGAAGCCTGCGGCCTCTGTGGTCACGTCTGGGCTCATGCGATGGCGAATGCTCATGGGAGCCGCAGTCGGAAGGGTTCTCCGCACCCCCACCGGCCACGGCCGCACTCCCGAGCCTGCCCCTCCCACGCAGGGTGCTCCTGGGGCCGGCTCTGTTTACGCAACCTCTCCAGCATGACCACTTGGCACAGACGGGGCATTCCGGCTCGGCGCCCACGCCCCCGCCTGTGGCCTGCCTGGGACCCAGGGGCACTGGGCCTGGCAGACACCCGCACAAGCCTCGCAGGCGGTGACAAATCGCAGCCACTCAGCTGGACAAGGGCCACGCCCCAGTGAGGGGAACCTCCCCACGCCCACCCCCTCCGCCTGTCCCCCAACCCCCGCCGGCTCCCCAAGCTCACACAGTCCACAGCTAGAGGTCACTGCCGGCCCAGCTGGGGGCCTCCTGCTCCAGCTGCTCAGCCAGGCGAGGCTGGCTGATCAGCCAGCAGGACGGAGCAGCACTTTGTCACTGAGGAGCTTACCTGCTTAGATGTGGGGCGGGGAGAAGAGTGGAAAGTGGGCAGTTATGTAGCGGAGAGGCAGGTGTTGGGGATGACAGGGCGGCCTGAGGGCTCAGGGCGGCGACGCTGGGGATGTGGGGAGTGGGCAGGCTTGCGTGTGGCCTCGTGCACCGGAAGCGCCTTCTTTTAGACAAGTAGCTTCCGTCACTGTTACTGTTGGTCATCGGAGGTTCTGCCATGCGGGAGACAAGCTTTGTTCGTGACTCTGAGGTCTCACACTGACGAGGAGACACGTGTCCTGTGTGGCCTCTGACATGAGATCCCGGCTCTGCCGAGAGAGGGTCCCCCTGGAATTCCGAGGGCCCTGTTCCGAGGGCCAGCGTTTGCGTGTGAACAGCACGAGCCAGGGCCTTGGGATCAGGAGGGTGTGCGGTCCTCCCTCAAGAGAGATGGAGGTTGGCGTGGGGAGGGGCAGGCCCTGCCCATCGTCCTTGCAGGACCGACGCCCAGGGGCAGGACACTTGGCTGGTGTCCCAGGGTGGGGGCCCAGAGATTGTAAGCCAGCCTGCAAGTTAACAGGTGAGCGCCCCGGGGCACTGGGGGTAAGGGAAGAGGTGACTGTCCCCACCTCCCGGGACCTCTCCTGGGTGGGAGAGGCGGCCCACATGCCCTGGCTCCACGTTCGGAGGAGGAGCAGCCTGCGGTGGGAGCCAGGATGTGATCGTGAACAGTCGTGACGTGGGCCGCCCCCCGCGGGGCGTGCGGAGCAGGATCAGCGCTGGCAAGCCGAGGACGGCAGGCTCGGACGTGGACGCTAACCCCCCGTGAGTTTCACCAGCGCTGTCAGCTGTCCCCGCGCACCCGGGAGCTGGGAACAGCCCTTTACGGCACAGAGGAGAGGCCAGAGTGGACACCGACTTCCCTCCCCGATCCCACCACTTTGTGCCCCACAGCGGGTCGAAGGCCGTCCCTGTGGCCTGCCGGAGCTGGCTCCGTTCCTGGCTGTGGCTCGCCGTGACGAAGCCGCGGCCACCCAACCCCTCCGGGGCCGCGCATCTCCCGCGGACGGTTTCTTCGGGCCGCCGTGTTCCCTGCTTCCTTCTCCTTCAAATACGTGTAGTAGCCGAAGCCAAATGCCAACGAAGACAAGTGATGACGAACACGCCATCGACGACGTGGCCCTCTCCTCTGCATCCCCAGCTCCCCTCCCCCGAGGCCTTAAAGAGACTCTCCCGGGATGAGGAAAACTCAGGGACGTCTGCAGAACAAAGTGGGCTTATTCCAGCTTCCTAGCTCCTGAAGCCTGACTGTGCCAAAGACGGGCCACCGCGACGATGCCAGACGCGAAGCAGACTGAAGACAGCTGCTCCACGGTCCTGTCGGTCATCTAGTTTTTGTAGCAAATTAGCCCAAAACTTAATGGCTTAAAGCAATAACAAGTGTGGATTCGCTCTCCCAACTTCTGTGGGTCCGGAGTCCCGGGCAGCTTGGGCGGCCCTGGCCTGGGGTCTCTCACGAGGCCGTGGGGCTATGGCCGTCGGACAGGCTGCCTGGGACCAGCGGGCCCCGTCCGAGGTGGCTCCCTCCGGCAGCGTGCAGGCCGATGGTGGCTGTCGGCCGCAGGCATCTGCTCCTATCCCCGTGGGCTTCTTGGCAGTGCTGCTTGACTGTCCTCAAGCACAGCAGCTGCCCTCCCGTGCCCCTGACCAAGAGGTCAAGGGCGAGCTCAGTGTCCTTATGACCTTTATTCGCGATCACCATAAATTCAAGTCTTGCTTTGTCGCTTTCCTTTCTCACCTTCTAGTGTGACCACAAACGCAGCCTCTTCTTCCCTTTTAGGCTAAACCATTTGAGAATTGAAAATCTTAACGTCTGGCTGGGATCTGAGATGTGAAAGAGACACCAAAGTGTGTCATAGATTTATCTTAACCCCCAGAATCCAGTGCAACCAAGAAAATGCAAAATGACCCCCCAAGGCACCAATGGGTCATTGTAGGGGTGTGGACAGAGGAACGTGTGGGTGGGAGAGAGAGTTGATCTGCCAACCCAATAGTTCCCAGCCTTTGTGGCACCGGGGACCGGTGCTCCTATGAGAATCTGATGCCTGATGATCTGAGGCAGAGCTGAAGCGGTGATGCTGGCGCTGGGGGCGGCTGCAAATACAGATGCATTCAGATGAAGTTCACTGCTCACCCACCCACCACTCACCTCCTGTTGTGCGGCCCGGTTCCTGACAGGCCGTGACCCGCACTGTCTGCAGCCCCGGGGGTAGGGGACCCTGTGCTCGCTGGAAAGGGACTCGAGGACTGGAAGAAGCTGAGACTGACCAGCACCAGCGCCAGGCCATGTCTGGGAAGCGGAAAAGTCTTACCTGCAATTTGCACAATAGTCACTAACAACAACGCTGCCCTCCGTGCCAGGCGCCCTCCCATGGACTCTGGGGTTACTTATGCATGGGATCCTCACGGCGACCTGAACTAGATGCCACCATCGTGCCCACTGTGCAGACAGGGAGACTCAGCACAGAGGTCCAGCGTCTCATCGGAAGTGTAGGCCAGCAAATGACAAGTGTGGGTTTGCATTCGGGCTGCTTGCGTCCAGTCACTCACTCAGCACGTGGCCCCAGGTCTCCCAGACTGTCCTAAACTGGATCCTGCACCTATGGAATGCAGAGGACGTCTCAGGCACCCAGAAACCTTGACGTTCCAGCTGGGGGTCAGCCGGGCCCAGCCTGGGGGGAAGCAGGTGGGCGCAGACACGCAGGTCCCGGTCGCCAGCCGGGGCTTTCTTATCTTGCCAAGAGCCCAACCACGTCGTGATGGCCTAACGGCAAATGCTGACTTCACAGTTGTACTGCGCCGAGGTACAGAGTCCAGCTGCGTAGAGTCTGCAGAACATCTCATCTGTCCTGGCTGCGAACGCCTCTTATTCTTGCTGCGCCTTTCGGCCTGTGCACTGACTCAGCGAGAAGGACGAAGCCACGGGCATGAGTAATCTCTGGTTGAACCCCACGGTGAAGTGATTTTGATCAAAACAACTATTTCTGGCCTGGAATCTGAGGATAGTCGGGCTAGGCTCTAATTTCGGGTCTGACCCGTCCTAGCCTGGTGACCAGGAAGTGAGGGTTCCCTTGTCCTGCCCCGGCCTGAGACTTCGCCAGTCGGGAAACGAGGGCCGTGCCAGACTATATGACGCGGGCTCGCTCTGAGCAGTCGGTCAGCTAGGACACTTAGCACAGTGCCCGATGGTCATAAACGTGCAATGACAGACCTCCCTGCCTCTCAAGCTGCCATTGGTTACAGAACACATCACTGTTTTGGGTGCCATTAAGAAAGAAAAAAAGAAAAAATTCATGCAGGTAAACAATGCCACTCCATCAGCTATCAGACTCATCCCAGTTCTGGAGACGGCAGGCTGAGAAGCAATGTGTGACCCCAAATCGGCGAGACACAGTGCGGCTGCTGGGCGGACCGGCCCGCCCATGGACGCCGGCCCTCCACCCTGGCTTCTCACAACTCCGTGGCCCTGGCTCCAAGACACGAGTGACGTCGTTCCGTCACATTCTGCTGTCAAGCAAATCACAAGGCCAGCTACCGAATGGGGTGGGGAGGAGACCTCTGGGTGGAGGAACACGGAACACTGGGTTCTGTTTGTCACTGTTGTACGCCACGGGAGGCAACGAAGGGCCTGTGGGGCTAGAATCAATGACACAGACAGCATGAAAATAAGCTGTTTAATGGTGATTTTCTCCTCTTCACTTTCCTTCAATATTACTGATGAGCCATTTTTCTTCACAATGAAAAGTGTTTCTTCCCAAGATGTACTCGATCGGAGCACTGCGTTTCCGGCAGCTGGGCTGCCCTGGGCGGCAGGGCTGGACTCAGGCTTCTGGCGAAGAACGGGCTGGTGAGCCGATGGCGGAGGGGCGGGGGGGCGGCGATGTCACTGAGGGGGCGAAGGGGGAGAAGGGAGGAGGGCTGCCCACACCTGGGGATGCACGGTGGACTCGGGAAGCGTGGCTTCCATGATGAACCGCTGCACGCACTGCTGTAATACAGATCACTTTTAAAGAGCCTCAGTCAACAGACAGGAAGCAGAGCACACCCAGACGGGTTCGCAGACACTGAGGGGTCAGCACTCTTCAATCACGTGACAGGATGGGCTCCGCTTCGGAAAATGGCGAGTCAAACTCGGGCCATGCAGACGCCCCCAAAAAGAACTGTCCTTTCCCACTCCTATTAGAATGACCCAGTATGCGTGAACGCCCTCCCCCCAAAATGGGCCAAGCTCCGGGATACCTTTAGAGATTCTAGCATGGTATGACTGAGAAAAACGAGAAAAAACAAGGGGCCTAAGGAAGATACGGTCACAGTGGGAGTGCTGAGGCCTCCGACCAATGACGAATGTCGTATGCAACATGAGCACTATATGTAAGGGAAGTACAAAAACATATGTGTAAAAGGTGATCTGTCTTTAAATCACTAGTTGAAAAGATAAAACTTATAGTCCTAAAACGTTAGAAATCAAAATGGAGCAGATAATCTAATTCGAGTTCTTGTATACATGCTTATTGTGTCACCACCACAACCACCATCACCATGACCATCATCACATCACCATCACCACCATCACCACCACCACATTATGACATGAACACAGACACTGTGTTCAGTGCTTTAACTGCACTGCGTCATCTGAGCTTCGCAAAGCACCATCACCACCAGCACCATCACCACATCACCATCATCACCACCACCACCATCACCACCATCACCACCACCACATTATGACATGAACACAGACACTGTGTTCAGTGCTTTAACTGCACTGCGTCATCTGAGCTTCGCAAAGACCCTATAGCTTCAACCTGGCCTTCTACAGGTAGAGTAACAAAGACTCAGGGAGGTACTACTGCCACGATCACCACCACCACCATCACCACCATCATCACCATCATCACCGCCACCATCACCACCACCATCACCACCACCATCATCACCACCACATTATGGCATGAACACAGACACTGTGTTCAGTGCTTTAACTGCACTGAGTCATCTGAGCTTCGCAAATACCCTATAGCTTCAACCTGGCCTTCTACAGGTAGAGTAACAAAGACTCAGGGAGGTACTACTGAGCCAGGGTGTTGGATCTGGGGCTGATGTTCGACCGACTCCAAAGCCTATTTCTAACCGCTCTGCTCCCCGGCTCTCCAACGGGTGGTGCTGCCGAGAGCTCAATGCTCAGAGTTGGCACAAAAAGAAATGATGCTGGAGGAAGCTTCCCTCCGACTCTGCAGACACTGCACATCTGTGCTGGTTTTTAGCCCACCACTTGTTTAACTTTTGGAAAAGAATCTATTTGCATCTAAGCAATGTATTTTTTAAAATCTTCAAGTTTTCTCATTTCATCTCAAGTGGCACGCGTAAAGCTGACACAAAAATCAACATGAAATGAATCATAAAAACCTAAAGATGATGAAAACAATCGGTTTAGACAGGGCTGGCATCCAAGACGAATTCGCCTGGGTTGCCTCTGTAATCCCGCCCCTCGTAAATCATCCTTGTCTTCTGCCATCCTGGGTTTATCAGGAGGTTCTCGCCCTGCAATTTATCCTGAATACATGAGGCTTTACCTTTGGGAAAGTAATTAAGCACTGCCCAGCTCAGAAATAAAGATTCAGAATGCATCATACACGAAAATTAGAATGTAAACACAGAAATCTCAATTAACCTTCTAATCTGTAGGTCAGCAGGAGGGGTCTCCGAGTTACAAGATAAATACAATGCCCTTTTTCTACAGACCCCATCTGGCTGGTGACAGAATTCAGGTCACAGCAATTAGTTATAATAACAGGAGGGAAACAAAAGGTCGTGCTGTCCGTTCACCTCTGGAAAGCCCAGTGCCTGGCCGCGGCCTGGGACGGGGTCAGAGACAGCGGTCAGCTGTGGAACAATCTTCGAGTTTATAAACAACAGCTTCTAGACGGGGCTATGTTGGAGGAGCAGGGAAGAAAATGCAAACAGCCGTGGCACCCCTCAAGCCTGGGCGAGGCTGTGACGGCCTGCTTCAGGTCACGCCGAGGTGCAGAGCGTCTGGCGTCAGCAGCGACGCCACAGGAACAGGCCCGCAGGGGCCCTGTCTCTGGCCTCAGCGGCTGCACCTGAGAGCGAGACTCCTGGGGAGGAGGTGACCGGTGAGCACGACCACTCGCTCAAGGGTCAGGGCTCCCTGGGAAGACTCCGCCTACCAAAAGGCTCGAGGCCCAGGACGGGGTGGCCCACGACCTCCCCTTCCCACCACCTTCCTCCTGCTCCCCGACCGTGCCAGCCTTCCGCACCCAAGAGAAGACCGGCCACGCTCCCCCTCTCGGCCAGATCTTTAGAAAGCAGAACCTAATTTTCTAGCACGCTCATAACCTTCAGTGAAAATGGACACACGGATACTTAGTCGAACAGTGTCTTCCCCCAAGTTCACGTTCTCCCAGAGGCTCAGAACGTGACCTTATTACCTGAATTGGAATCAGGGTCATTACAGATGCACTTGTTTAAGTGGAGTGAGGCCACACTGGAGTAGGGAGGCCTCCGACGCAGTACGTCTGGCGCTCCTAGAAGAGGGGACCGCAGGCACGTACACGGTGGGACAGAGGCAGAGGCGGAAGCAATGCTTCCACATCCAGCACCGAGGACGGCTGGCACCACCACGGCCGGAGGACGCAAGGGGGGCCTCCCTGGAGCCTCAGAGAGAACACGCCCTGCCCACACTGTGACTTTGAACTTTCGACCTCCAGAACAGTGACGGGATAAATTTGTTGTTCACAGCACTTTGCAATGCTGTCCTCGGAAACTAACACCATGTGTAAAAGCGGCGTTTCGGAGTTTGCTCTGGACCGAGTCAAGTTAACGTAAGCCAGAGGGCGAGCTGTCCCGCATTCCAGCTGCGGAAACTTGGTCCCCTGTCGCTCAGGTCGACCGGCTGAACTCAGAGCCCCCCGTGCAGGTCCCCGCCCCGCCCCTCCCGGGCATGCCAGTCCCAGCGCCTCCTTAGAAAGGCTGGCACCTCGGCCACCGGCCTCGACCAAACACCCTCCTTCCTGCTCCACGGCTCCACAGCTCGTCCTTGATCCTCTTCCCCTCGTCAGGAGGTATCTGTCACTATCCACGCCCTGTAACCTTCTAGCTTCCGGTCCTGACGCAACAGCCCTGCCCGCAACAGCCCTGCCCGTTCGCCGCTAGGTAATTCTGAAATCTCATTTTGGGAGTTCTCATCCGTTTTAATACTCACGCCCCAGCGCCTAGACTGTGAGAGACGTCATACTTGAATAAGCAAATGAGTAAATGAAATAATACTCTTGAACCTATAAAATGGGTTCACGTTTCAAAGCCCACATGTCATCAGGATCATGTCCCTTCCTTCCCTCTCTTACGTGCCTGCCTCTTGCACAAGCTCCAGTCACGGAGGACCCGGGCCACTCCGCTGCAGAAGCTGCTGGGGGCGGGGCGGGGGCGTGAGCCTGGCATGCGCGTTGCAGGGCAGGGAGGACACCGTCTCGTGAGTCGCACGGTGTCAGCAGGGCAGTGCAGCACTGCTCAGGACGTGACAGGGTCCTGCACAAGGTCCCACCCTTGCTGTGAGCAGGGTCCCGGGCTCCACCCCACGTGTCTTCCACTGGTGCTGCCGCTGCTGAATTCAGGGCTGTGTCCCTGGTCCCTGAGCTCCCTCTGGGAGCCGAGGCTTGAGGTGGCCATGACAACAGCACTTACCGGAGTACGTGGCACGTGTGTAAATACTGGAAGAGGTGTGACAGGGACTCAGGGTTTCGTCATCACCTTCGGCCATTCCGAGCCAGAAGGAGCCTGTGCACGTCACTGATAATGACAGCACGAGCGGGCGGGTGGTCACACCCCGGCTCAGGGGACACTCAGGGAAGAGCTGGGGTGTTCTGAAGAGGACCCTGGGCATGGGCAGGGGACTGGCCAGACCACACGTGTGGCATTGTGGAATCCCGCGGTGTCTGGGAAGCAGCAAAAGCGCCCCAGTCCACACCTCCCCTGGGAGCTGCCACCCTGACCGATGCCCCATGAGCCGTGCTCCCTGAGGTGACTACACAGGCATGTGTGCTTTACGACTAGGGAAAGGCGGTGTGACCCCTGGTGCCAACAGGCCACTCACAGCCCCTGCTCATCTGAAGGACTGTCGTGCAGACGGATGTCTCGGGGACAGCCAGGGCCCTGTGGGGATGGCGGGCCGGGACGTCCGGCATGGCGTGCTTCCCCTTGGGGACAGCGCACTGAAGAGTCAGCTACAGATCACGAGGTTCACGAGACACCAGAACTGAAGAGGGGACCAACAGGGACGACAAACCCCGCTGCAGAGTGCTCCCGGGAACCCCGTGCGACACCCAGAACTCAGTAGCGCCCCGGGGAGGCAGGCCTGCTTTCCAGCCAGAGCGCCCTGAGGCGCCTGCTGCAGGTCCCCTGCCCTCCGGGGAGCCACACAGTGTGGCTCCGCTTCGTCCCTGACTGAGCCACTGGTACCGGGGCGCCTGTGCCTCTCGACATTGTCATAATTCCCTCAGTCCCTTTGACGTTGACTTGTACGTGTCCACTTAGGCAGACTCTGTGACCAGTCTAGATGCCACGTGGTGAACGTGTTTTTAAAATGCGATTACATTACGTGAAGCAATGTAGCCTCGGGCGTGTGGGTGGGCCTCATCCAGTTAGTTGAAGGCCTTAAGAGGAAAAAGACTGGAGTGGCCAGGGAGCAGGGATGTCCCCTGCAGGGGGCCTTCCGACTCGGAACACACGCTCTGCCTGGATCTCCAGCCTGCTGGCCAACCCTGACCCTCCAGACTCGACAGGCCCACGAAATCATGAGCCGATGCCTTAAAACAAATAAACAAGTGCACACGCACACACACACACGTGCGCGTGCGCTTACACACCATAATGGTTGTTCCCCTGCAGAACCCTAGCACAGTCCCCACGGTACCCTCCCTACAGCGCTGGCCCAGCTGGAGGGCAGGGCAGGGCCACTTACCCCAACGATCAGTCTGCTCACCTATAAAGTGGGAACAGTGACACCTACCTCACAGGTTAGATGAGACGAAAGATCCGGAAGCACTTTGTAATCAGCTGTCTCTGCAAAATTATTATTTTCAACGTTCGACTTCCCAGGACAAATTAAAGGCTGCGTGGCCTTCCTTCAGAGTCGGCTCAGTGGCGCCGGTGGCTGTCTCCGGACACCCGGGCCCTCTGCCCCCTCCAGGCCTGACACACTCGCATCCTATTATTACGGTCCACCCCCAGCCAACGCCAAGGAGATCAAGCAGTGCTGCCCATGAGACAGAGAATCGGGACACAGTGACCCAGTGGGACAGGCCAGGAATACCTGCGGTATAGTCAAGCCAGCCTGTGACTCTAACATCAAAAGCAAACGCTTCTCAAGGCATCGTCATCTGTCTACCAGATGCGTGTCTGCCAAGTACCTGGGCGTTGTCAAACAAGCCTCCGGCTGGGCCAGATTACAGACAGGTGACTAAGGGCCAGATGCGTTGTCTGCCAGGTACTCCGGCTGGGCCAGATTACAGACAGGTGACTAAGGATGGCTGGGGGGTGGTGACTCATTCCTACGTCCTGGGGCCCTGAGATGGCCACCTCCATCACAAGTCGGGGGGTGATGCAGCCCCTCCTGTGTCTTGCTGACCGGCAGGAGAGAGCGGCATGCTGCCCACGCTTCCCTAGTCCCCGGTCGGTCCGACTCGACCCCAGCCTTGGCGCTGTCCTAGGGACCCCGCCAGGGCAGACCCGGTCACGGGGACAGAACTGCGCACGGCGTCCGTCCTCCCTTACGGCGGGCTCGCATCTCAGTGGGACGCTGTCTGCTGAGGAAACAAGTCCATGGCCCTGGGCCTCCGATATGGTACCCAGATCCTCGCCTCAGGCCCTCGGGGCTGTGGTGCTGCTCGTCTGCAAGAGGCTCTGGAGGACCGTCCCTGCACGCTGTCCCCTGCTGACCTGGCGCTTCCTGCTCAGGAGGAGGTGGTTGGCACGGACTCAGAGGCTACCAGACTGGGAAGGGTCCCTGGGAAACGTCTGGAATGATTCATTTCAAATACAGACAAAGACGATTGCAAGGAGTCCTACATTCAAATAAAACCTTCCCCCAACGTAAGTAAGTAAAACCCACAAAAGCACTCTGAACGTGGTGGCTGGAGGGCTGGCTGACGAGAGGAAGGGAAAGCACGAGTCCTGTGGGCGCCCCGCAGCCCCTAAGGGGTCCCACAGTGCTGGCTTTGGGGAGCACAGTCAGACCTGCAACCAGGCCCCCTGCTGAAGACGAGGAGCCCAAGGCCCTGTAACCACCACAAGGTTGCACCCATGGGACCAGCTCCCCAACACGGAGCAAAACTCAACATGAGCTAAAGAAGTCGGATCCGCCACCCAAGCCCCCGCCCCTCAGGGAGCCACCCTCATCCCCGTGCGTGATGCCCGGTCCCCCTCCAGTTCTGAGACAGCACCCACCTGTCACTCCAACAGGAAGATATTTCGACTAAACTTCAAACCAACACAAGCAGGAAGTAATCGATTTTCCCTCTCTGAAGCATTTCCCCGCTCTGGCTTTCCGCAGCTCTCCCTGAGCCGGGGTCCACGGAGCTCCCCTGGAGGAGGTGTCATGTGGTGGTGAAGGGCACACAGAGAGCAGAGCGACCTTGGCTCCGGGACCATTAGCCCTGGGGACGCAGTCACCCAAACCCTCTGGGCTTCAGTGTCCTCAGCCACAGAACGCACGGCTGACGGCGCGTTCACGGTTGGGTTCACCCAACGGTGCCCCCGGGTCTGCAGCGGCAGATGCGTGGTGAGCGGTATCCGCGTGCTGCCCCTCATTCCCCTCCTTAGTCCTGGGGTCTTACCAGCTCTTCTTCCCATTATCTGCTCATTCTCCATTACTGTCAGTTTGGGTTCCTGTAACCCACTCTGGGTGAGCACAGCAGCTCTGTAACTGACAGCCCTGGCTTCAGGCCATTTTAGATTTTCAAATGGCTCCTTGGCATGTACTGATTAAAAAAAACAACTATCCACCCACGTATCCAAGAATTTCCAGAATCCGATTTGACTTTATGGGCCAAACTGAGTCACCTGCCCCCACCATTAAAGCTGCCCCAGCTTTGCCAGTCTCCTTTCTCCCCAGCAGCCCTGGCCATCCCAGTCCATCCCAGTCCATCCCGTCTCCAGGCCTGGACTCCGGCCAGTCCCTCCCCAGAAACGCCCTCCTGCCCCCAAGCACCGCCCTACCTCCCGCACCAGCTCAGGTATGTCCCCTCCGCCCTGACACCCCGGCCGGCCCTGGCCTGCGGGCTCCCCAGGCCTCGCGGGCTTTATCTGAAGAGCGAGGCCTCCCCTAAACAGCCCGACGTCCAGATCGAAACTTGGTTCCTGGCTTTATTAAGGGCTTTCGAGAACAGGAAAGGATTCCGAGCCACTGACCGCCACGCTTCTGAAAACGCCCTTCCTGACCTGGCCGGTTCCCGCCAGGCTGCGGCCTCCCAGACGCCGCTGTCAGTTCTGCTCGGAGACCCCAGCTGCGCCCAGACAGGCGCCCCACCCCGCTGCCCCCGGCTTTCCCGGCGGGGGTGGCCCGAGCCCCCGCGACCCCGGGAGGGCGCCCGGACACTGGGCCTCTCCTACCCCATGGTCAGCTTCTGACGCAGCCCTCCCGCTCGGTGTGGCGTTATCGCCCACAACACTCCATGTCCCAGGAGTGCCATGCTGTCCAGGCGTTGCCTACCTGGCGCTCGCTTGTGTCACCTTCCCCAGCACGCGACAAGTTCCTGAACCGAGGGGGAGAGTCCTGGCTGACCGCACGGCCCTCCACAGCCGGCCAGCGCATCGCGGCGCCGATGACTCTCACTCAGGTCGCGGAAGGATTCGCACAACCTATCTGTCCCCAGAGCACGCTCTGTGACCCCTCTCTCCACGCAGCCGCAGACTGTCAGGCGCCGGCGTCCGTCCGGACGGCCCGCCGCGGAAGCCACGCTGCGCGTGCGCAGTCGGAGCCCGGGCCGTGGGCGGTGCCGGAAGTTCCGGCTTCTCCGCGGGTTCCGGGCCGCGCTCTGCGCCACGTGCCTCGCGGGAGGAAGGGCGGCGAGGGCCAGAGTGTGTTCGAGGTTCCGGTTGCGTCGCATGTCGGGGGCACGCAGCAAAAGTTTACTGACTGATTTATGCTGCGGAATGATTTATAACCGTCAGACGTCTCAAGCCAGCCTTTCCTCCATGCTTGTTATTTAAAAATCGTTCTTTGCAGGGAGCCGTACGTCGTGCACAGTGTGACGCTGATGTTTTCCGGGGAACGGTTTTTAAGCGCCGTGAAAGGAAACGTTGCAGTTCGGCCGCAGACCGGAGCCGGATGCCCGGGCCGCGTTCCGGGGACGAGGCCGTTGCAACAGGTTCCTGCGATGGAAAAGCAAGGCCGCCAAAAAGTTTTATGAAACGCGAATCTGCCCAAGAGGTGCCAGAGTCCCCCTGGGACGTTTGTCGGTTGTGTCTGGGGAGCAGTGTGGAGAGATTAGCGAGCGGATGGTGGGTGCTCCAAGATCTGCTCCATTGTTTGCGAGACAACAGTGAGCACAGCCTCCTGGAAAGTGCTCGTCCTGCCGGGTCCCGGCGCAGCCGGAAGAAGGAGCCCATGGGAAGGGTCGCTGAGGGCAGAGAGAGGCCCGAACCTCACCGCTGCTTTGGGAGGGAGGAGGCACAGGATCCAGAAACAGCAGAGCTGAGCCGACCCACACTCCCTTTGCCTCTGCTTGCCTTGACTTTTTTCTTTAATGCAATGAAAAAAATTCTCAAATGTTTCAATATTTCATGAATTGGATCAAAATTCTTCACCAGAGCGGGGTCCCCATCTTCTCGCTGGTTTTCTGGGTGGCGTGGCAGTCCGGAAGTGCACTAGCAGTTTGAAGGGTTGTTTGAAGCTCTTCAGCTGGGCTTTGCTGCTGGGGTTTGGAAACCCACTGCGTTTCTGTGAGTGAGGCGGCTTGTTGACCTACAGGCTGGCCAGGCCAGGCCCAGACGCTCATTAAAACATTTCGTTTGAGATGTAAAATGAGGCGTCTGTTCGATTATGTCTGGTCAGTAAGAACTTAAAACAGGACCAGTGTGAACATTTTCAACAAAGATTTGTAAAACATTTAAGAAAAGATTTGTAAAACATTTAAGAAAAGTTTTAAAAGTTAAAATGTTCACTGCACATATGCTTGGTTTGAGGGTGCTGTGGTGTTGCAAAATATTTTTAACATCCAGTCTCCTTTTTTTGAATGTACTTGCCAAAAGCTCTAACCAAGTTCTAAGAAACTCAGGAGGAATGGGAAGCTCACCCTCGTGTTCTGGGCGCTCACAGGCTCATCCCGCCCCTGCACGCACAGGTGGCTTTGCCGTCACTCACGCCGGGAGGACCCAGTGAGCCACGAGGAAACCCTCCGTTTGCCGTCGTTTTGGCCTAAACCGTCCCCTAGATCTCCCAGGATTTCTGGGGAGTTTGTGGGTCTTTTCCAGGGTCGGGCAAGGCTGAGGCGACCCGGCCACGGCGTTTTCCAGCCTCTAGGAAGCTTGTTGGCTCTATGCTTAGCATAATCACAAAGATTAAACACAGGACGTTACACGTTTCTAGTCTTGGTTTCATAAGTTCACAATTGAGAAGGTTTTGTATTTTGATCGAGTTCAGATTTTATTGTATGCTTTAGTTTTCCATTGCCTTTCTCTGCTTCTGGCCTCACCCTCACCTCATAGCTGTGCATATCTTCCCCAGTGCAGCTGGATTTGGGGAGAAAGCGAAGGGTACGTGTGCTGATGTTGACGGGCAGGTCCTTGTTAGATTGCTTTTGTCATCAGCCCCATCAGGAACACAGAAAGAAGAAAAAAAGCATTATTTCTCTCACACGATTGTCCTCCCTTATAGTGTAGGCATTCGGTAACCTCATTTTTATGATTTGAGACGAAGGGCTCTTCACGTGCTTGGTGATTGACATCATTATTCAGATGATCGATAATCAGTTTTGAGGAGAAGAGATGCAAGGACACAGCCTGGGGCGGGGCACCGGTCTTCCTCAGCCAGCTCTGAATTTACCCAAGGGGATTATTGCTAACCCTTTTTTCTTCCCTGTGTCGTTAAGGGAGATCAATGCCAGACACGAGACACATGCAGCGCCCCCACCTAGTACGACGTGACAGTCGGGAAATGAGGCGACTTTGGCGCGGCTTTTCCTTTAAGGAGAGTCAATGCTCGTTCCTCGTTTCCCAGGCATTTCTGGAACATCTCACATCTAGACTAAAACTGTCCACCAGGAGATAGCGAGTTCGCTCATCTGTCATCTTCTCGATGGCCTCCATCCTCGCTTTGACAGCCGGGACACCTGTCCATCTCTAGGCTCCAATCTCTCTCGTTCCCCAGTGCTCTGCACATGTCCCTCCAGGAGCCTCTCGATCTCATGGCCAAGGCCTTTGAGGTCATCCAAGTCAGACTGTTCTCTTACGGAAAGCAGGTGTTCTCACATTATTGTCTGACTACTTAGGATTTCAGTTCCCACAAGCCTGCTCTGTCCTTTCTGTTCGAACACCATTTTTACATAAAGGAAGTGAAAAAAAGTATAAACTGAGTCATTCTGGTTTCTTCTCCATCTGTTAACTAGCATTTTACCATCTGCCTTTTTCACTAAACAGAATGAAGCAAAACAGAAAGCCACAGATGATTCTGGACCAAAGCACCCTGGTTCTAAAATCAGATACAAGAATGCAGCTGAGGGTTTTATGGGTGCCGAAAGGCAAAGGCAGTCCAGGGTGCCGGCTTAGACACGAGGAGGGCCCGCCCCTCCCCAGGCCGGCACCAGCTGCCACGTGCTCGCTAGAGGGCACTGAAATGCCCGCCCCCTCGGGACACATAGGCAGGAAACCCAGCCCAGTCCCCACACCTTTCTCTGCCATGAAACAAGCCGTGAGCTGCCAAGTGGGCAGGAAGCCCTGCGGTGCCCCAGACCCAAGCAAAGACCTGTCACATCTGAACAAGGGGTGACAGTGAAAGCCACTGCTCCTGTGCAATCACTGAAAATTTTCCAAAAGAAATAACTGGTCAGCTGACAGGTTAACATTCAGAATGACGGTCGCCTCTAGGGACGTAGGAAAAGGAGAGTGATCCTGAGGGCAGACGCACACCCGGCCTGAGTATGCGATGCGGTGTCCGATTTTTGAAAAATGTGAAGCAGGTATGGCTACATGTTAACGCTTGACCAAGCCGGGTGGTGCGTGAACAGTTGTTCTTTATGTAATTTCTGCAGACGAAAAAGAGGCCGCATACTAAATCTGACCAGCTCAGGGGAGACCAGCATGGTGGGCCCTACAAACTCAGAGACCAAAAGTCACCACACAGGATGGTCTGAACATAAAAATTCCTAACTAAAAGCAAGTCGTGGTCACATCCTGGGCTGTAGCCTCCTTGAGAAAGGTCGATCTTTACCCTAAGGGAGTCTGTTTATTGCCTTTTTGCATCTAAGATAAGATATCCTTGAAATTTCAGAGTAATCTTTTCTAGATGCCTCAGGACACAGCCCACCGCAGGAGACCATAGAGTCCCTTCTGGTCCCCGCACACTGCACACCGTCTCTCTGTGCTGTGTTAATTATCAGTTATCCTGCACCCACCCCCGTGGAAGGAGTGTGTGTCCCTCCATTTTACTTTTTACCTGACCCCAGAGATTTCCCTGCCTTGCTTTCTCCCGCCCCCCTAATCTACCCTCAGCAAACCCCCTTACGTCTCCTCCTTTGATTCTAATGTATCAAACAAGCCACAGAAATTCTCTGGAGCCTTTTCTCAATCCATTGAGATTTTGCTTCCCGGCAATTGTCATCACTGTGACTCAGATAAACTCATTAAAATTCTCCACATGTCTGGACGTTTCTTACGGCGACATCCTGTACTTTTCCGTAGGCTGAGGCCCCTCATGGCACAGCGGTCACGATTTTGGAAAACAGATGAGCAGAGGTGCTCTA